GAAAAAAGTCTTCACATGTCATATATGTATGTATGTATGTATGTATGTATGTATGTATGTATGTATGTTCATCACCTAATATTTTCAGTCCACATTTTGTTGAATCCTTGGGCACAGAGGGCCAGCTGGTCTCTCAGCCTTCAGGGCAGTTTTTTTGCAAGATCAAGCCTCCATTTGTACATACAGGGAAATGGAAATCTATTAACCTACAAAATGGAGCCCAGATTCCTTTGTGTGGGTCATAAGCGTGTGATGGTCCACCCTAGCCTACCATCTGAACCTGGTTTCTAGCTACACACACCTTCTAGCACCCACATCCCTCTCTGGAGCTAAAGCACCAAAAGCTTTGTTTCCCGGAATATGCCAAGTTGTTCTCTGCATGCATAAACAGCTTATGCTGGTTAAGAGAATGCTTCAGATGCCCTACACACACACAACACACACAACGCTCACGTGCTTCCACAGGCTCCCGGCTGCCCTCAGACCAGGTTGCTGAGGCACAGATGCTTTCTTTCAATAAATGTTTAATTTTGCATTCTACAGCCTGTAACTGAGGCAGAGCCTGTCCTATCTAGCCCTGTGTCTCCTATAGTCAGAGCAGAACCATAGTAGCTACTCAGTAAATGTTAGCAAGAGGAGAGCTTCACTGGATGACATTAACTGGTCTAGGGTGGGGGGTTGGAAGTCTGGAATGTCTGACCACAAAGCCCTGAGTAGTTTTATTAACAAGCTTAGGTTTAAGGACCAGAGCTGGGTATGAAGCAAGCACTCTTTATCTTGAGCTGGTGACTGTACAAATCTCAGATCCCTCATGTAAGAGTGTAAGGTGACACTGATGGTGATTGAGAGTGTTAATTCTGGCCAGAAGCAAGTACAGCTTGCTCCTCTGACCTCCTTGTCCCTTGTAGCCTGTTTCTTGAGCTGCTCTGGGAGATGTAATCTTGTACAGGCCATTCTTCTTACATGCTACTGGTTCTTCCTAGGCATCTCTTCTGATGGAAAAAGTGTCTGTTGGACATCTGGTGAGTTGTGTACCTGATGTCAGGGACCTTGCAAAAGCTGACCTGGTATAATCTGCACCATGCCCTCAGTCTTACCTGCCCATACTTTCTCACTCAGGACATTTGACCTCCAGGATTTGTTGCTCAGAGGGCATGTGCCCTGTCTACCTGCACAGACAGATCTGAGAGAGGCAGCTTGGCTTTAGAAACAAAGTGCTAGAAGGAAACCAGGGTGACCTCCTCCTCATCCTCATCTGTCCTGAGTCTGAATCAATTGTCAGATCTTAGGACATTAGAAGGAACTGCCACTTGGGCAGTGGTGAAAGAAAGTGAATTCTCTAAACATGCCACAGGACTGGGAATTTGAAATTTTGGTTAGTTCTTATGTTTTCCATATAGTTCATATACCAAAACTGAGCAGTTTTCTAAAATGTTTTCACAAGGTTGCGTTATCATCACTACTGCCTGATTCCAGGACATTTCATCCTCCAACCCTTCCCCCAAGGAAGTAACTCTACCCATTAGCAGTCTCAATCCTAACTACTGGAAATCACACATGCACCTTCATCCTTTCAGATTTGTCCCTTCTGGGCATTTCATGTAATCATTTTAGTTTGTAGCCTTGTATATTTACCTTCTTTGACTTAGCAAGTATTTATGAGGCTCTTCCTGTTGCTACATAGGCCAATATATAGCCTTTTCTTTTTTAAAATTTGTGTGTGTGATGTGTACATGTGGCATAATCAAGGATGACTTTCAGGCATCAGTTCTTGGCTTCTATCTTATTGAGCCAGGATCTCTGTTGCTTCTACTGATACACAGCACCACCAGACTGTGTCTATCTCCCATCTCACTACAGGAGCACTGGATTACACATGTGCCCTACAGTTGATCAGGTTTGTGTAGCAAGTGCTTTTACCCACTGAGCCAAGCCCCCTTTCTCATTTCTTTTTATGACCAGGTCATTTTCTGTGGAATGGATATACCACATTCCATTTATCAGAAGTGGGATCTTTCCATTGTTCAGTTAGTATGAATGTTCACATAGAAGTGTCTGTGGGAAAATGTTTGCAGTTCTCTTGGTAACGCCTTGGAGTGGGAGTACCCCTATGGAAATCTGTTTAATTATTGTAGAACTCTTGGCTTGATTCTTGCCTTGCTGTTTAGTTTTGGGTGAGTCACTCCACATTGTCCCCCACTCCAAGTCCCTGATCTAGTTTCCCATCCCTGACCTTTGGGAAGAACCTTGTCAAATGCTTGTCAAATGGAGTTCCAGAGAATGGTAGGGGCTGGGGTCTGCTTCTCTTTCAAAACTCTTCGTAACTGTGCCATCTGTTTTCCCACCACACCCTCTTCCCTCTTCCTTCTGTCTCTTCATTCCTGAAGCAAAGAGCCTGCTGGAGACTCCTCCTTTCAGGAAACAGAGCCCTAGGCCTACAACCCAAACCCACCTAGGACTAACCTGGTTCTTGGTTCTGGTTCTTGGTCTGACATTGTGCCAGCTTTTGCTACTGCTATCTGACAGGGCTGTGTATGGGGCATGTTTTCCAGCTACTGCAGATCCATTTCCCACAATTCAGCAAATAGAACCTATTCCAAGAGCAACTAAAACCCAAATTCCAGTGCACGAAAGGACAGGCAAATAAATGATAGGCTCCTGGCCATCGCTTTGTTGGTTCTTATGCCCACAATCATAGGCAAGGGTGGCTTTGACTCCCTCCTACTGCCCAGTGTCTAGTGCAGCTCTGATACAGGGCAAGAGCTCGTGCAGACCAAGAACATCTCAGGGCCTGTGGTGGAGGAACAGTAGAGGTTGCATCTGTGTGAGTGATGCCATGACGAATCTAAAGGAGGCCAAGGTGCAGGTGTTAAGATCATGTGGCAAACCTTGATGTAGTTTTAGAGGAGACCAAGAGGCCAGAAAGGGTCAACAGGCAAAGGGAGCCTCAACAATGGTACAGGAAAGCTAGTCAAACAGAAACTAAGAAAACTGACAACCATATAACACAGGGAAAGGCACTGGCTTGCTACCTGAGTCAATAGTACCACTTTCACATTTCAGAGACCATGCCCTTTCCATTGTTAAGCACACATATGTATGTCATGGCATGTGTATGTAAATGAAGGTCAGAGGACAACTTTTGGTAATTGGTCCCTTCCTTCTACCTTGTGAGTTCTGGGAATTGATCTCAGATTAGCAGTTTTGGTGGCAAGTGGTTTTACCTGCTAAGCCATCTTGCCTGCCCTCTCTACCTTTTTGAAACAGTCTCTCACTGAACCAGGAGCTCACCATTTTAGCTAGACTGGCTTATCAGCAAGCCCCCTGGATGCCACTATGCCTGACTTTTTACATGGACACTGGAGATCCAGTCTCAGGTCCTCTTGCTTGCAGGGCAAGCATTTTATCCACTGAGCCATCTCCCCAAGCCCAAATTAATCCTGCATCTCCCTAAATGCTTCAATCACAGGTGTATAGCACACTTGGTACTCTGATGCTGAGCAGCTCCCAGTGAGCCTTGTGATCATGAAGAGAAGCAGCTTGTTGTCTGGGGTGTACTGTGTTGCTCAGCTCCAGTACACATAGGTTGAGTGTATGGACTGTGATATTTTCAAATTGCAGTGTGTATGTTAGGACATAAGCCCGTCTTCATTTGAGGAGCATTTGTACTTATAACAGGGTTTTGTAGTTATCATCACTGTCTGATTCCAGAACATTTCATCACCCCAAAAGGATTCCCATCTTAGCCATATCTTGACTTTGTATTTACCATTCCTCCCAGCTAACCTCTCAGGGCCCCACCCATAGAGCTCTGCAGTTTTTCCCCTTGTTCCCTTCCCTACCATGTTTTTTTTTTTTTCCTCCCCTCCTCCTTCCATATCACCCAATTATTAATTCTTGATCTGGCTTCAAAGAAGCACAATAAAGGCTCAGTTGTCCCTGTCATCAGCCAATGTTTGCTGAGCATATGCTGGGTTCCAGGGTTAGTCCTAAGAATGTACATGTGTGTGAGGCAGAGGCAGGCCTTCTTGAGACTTAAGACACTTACACAAAGGGGCATGCATCCTGGTGATGTCTTCCCAACAGGGCATGTCCCAGGTCTCTACTGCCCTCTGTATAATGCCACAATGGGATGGGCTTTGCCATCCTGAAGCTCTGGTGCTGAGTAAAAATTATTCAGTTTCAGGGCTATGGGCACTTTAGAGGCAGCCCTAGGGAAAAGAGGGCCATTTGGCCCAGCATAACTTGCACTTGTATTCTGCCTCTCCCTAAAAGAGTTCAGTAGGCATGGCCAGGCGTTGGTGGTGCACACCTTTAATCCCAGCACTCGGGAAGCAGAGGCAGGGGGATTTCTGTGAGTTCCAGGCCAGCCTGGTCTACAGAGTGAGTGCCAGGATAGGCTCCAAAGCTCCACAGAGAAACCCTGTCTAAAAAGAGTTCAGTCAGCAGGTAGGCAGCTGAAGCAGTCTTGCCTGCATCCAAAACTGAGTGGAAACAATTGGGAGACATTCCTGTCTGGATGTTATCAGAAAGCCTTTTAGCACTGGAGGCCAAAATCACACCCACAGTATAGAGGGCCCTTTGGGTTCTGTGTGGCCTGGTGTTAACCTCTGCAGTGACATCTGTTCTTAGACAGGGAAGAACAGGACCAAGGCCTCATACAATACAGAGACCATGAGATACATCCTATGTATGGTTCATCTGATGCCCAGGACCTCTCAAGGAGCCCCCTCCAGTCCTTGTTCAGAATCAAAGAGGAGGGCTGTGGGAAAAGGATTCTCCAGCCTGGTCAGCTTCCTTTCCAAGGCATCACCCTCAGTGGCCTCTTAATCCATACCTTCACATTTTCCCAAGCACTTTCATGGCAACAGGCAAGTGGCACTTGGTCTGCAGGCCCCTCCCTGCCCTGCAAGACACTCCTCATCTCTGACTTCACCTCTGCCACATCAGCTCAGCTCATAATAGGAAGTTTGTCCTTCATCATCCGCTTGTCTCCCCAGGTTGTCTTGAAGGATCTGGAGGTATTGGCAGAAATTGCTTCCTCCCCTGCAGGCCAGACGGATGACCCAGGCACTCCTGATGGTCCTGACTTCCGAGTCAGCCACTCGGAGCTTCGGGTGCCCAGCTCCAGCAGAGCCAACCTGCTAAACCCTCCCAGTAAGTATTTCCCTGAAGGCTCTGTCCTGAGAAAATGCTAGTACTGAGTCTTGCTTGTACCAGGAGGTCATTCATAAGACTGTTCTGCCATGTATGAGGGTCAGTAGTTTGCCTACCCATGGTCTTCCTTCATAAAAGAGACAACCCTCCTGCTGCCTCCTAGCCCACACTCCAGTGGCCCCCAAAGAGACCCTCACAACCCTTTTTCCTCCTCTTCGGCACTTTTGATGCTTTTGAACCACTGACTAAGCATAAAATTCTCTAAGACAATTTCTCCACGGGCAGGCAACCAGCCAGGACCTTCAGTCTTGGGTCTCACAGGTGGAAAAAGGCTAAGGAGCCATTTCCTCCTCACCAAAGCTCAGAATAGCTCTCAGCATGGCAGGCAGCCCAGGCAAGAGACAGGATAATTCAAACAGGCTGTTTCAGGGCTGTCCTTGCAAGCGAAGGTAGCCAAGGCATTCCTAGTACTTGTTCCTTAGTTCTTTCAGGATGGCAGGTAGCTCTTCTCCCTGGCCATACTAACTAGCTCCTCCTCTCCTAGGCAGTGACCACCTCCTTCCGCCACATGGTCCTTAAAAAGGCCCAAGGGCACAGGTTGGTAGAAAATTACCCGATGAGTCTTGGGTGTTTGCCAGGTCTTTATCCCTCATGCCGTCTAGACTCAAGGACCTCATTAGCTTCACATAGACTCACACCCTTTCAGTGATATTGTCCCTCCTGCAGCTCTGTGATATTCTGGCCCCTAACCTTGGGCCCATGTTATACCCACCCCGCCCCAGTAGAAGCCCCTCACTGTTTGGCCAGACACCATATCCATTATCTGAAAAGTTCAGAGTATTTTCAGGGCTCCAGGGGCCATGGTACACCCCTGAATATGCCAAGTCAAATCACAGGCCATGTACGGAGGACACCTCTCCATGACAAAGAAAGCTATGGGTCTCCGAAGCCCTGCAGCAGGAGGCACATGGGAGCCTGGGCTCGGGCTCTCCTGATGCATGCTGTGCCTGGTGTGGAGAGTGAGGGACTCTAGCAGCAGCCTGGCTTCCTCTCTCCCATTTCCCTAGGATGCCATCACTTCCTTACTCAGGAGACCAGTTTCCCCTGGGCAGTCATTAGCTGTGGTCAAGGAAGCAGCTCCCTTATCCTGATGCCAGGACCCCTCCTGTGGCTCCCACCTCCTGTCCCTCAGCAGAGGAGTTCATTCTCTGCCCTCTGTCTCCAAGTCAGATTTGGGGGACAGATGGCAGAGATCAAGTGCAGTGGTGCAGAACAGGTAGTAGGAGCTACACTGAGATGGCGAGAAGTTTTCCTTATATGGGGTGGAGGGGGCAGGAAAGAGCCCAGAAGAAAGGACCCCTCAGTGGCCCTCAGTCCTTCCTCCCTAGGAGACAGCACTCTACTGTCTCTCCATCTTCAGGGTGACAGCAGCAGCAGACTGAGATGCTCCCAGGACCCTCTGTGGTCTTTTACTTTATAAGCATGTTTTCTTTCCCTCTGGGCACAAAGAAGTTGACAGGTGAAATGTGGGTTCCAGCTACTGAGGGTATGAGCCAAGAAACCACTTCCAACACCCATTCTAGAATTGGGATCCTGCAAGGTTCCTGGGGGTCATCAGGTATCAAAAGCATGCTGCTGCTTAGAGACAAAAGCTTAGGGAACTTATATGGCAGAGAACTCTGAATCTCAACTCCTTGCCCCACCAAAATGGGTAGGCTGCTAATGGGGCTGAAGTAGTGGGGACTCTTACCCTGGTCTGCTGAGGTTACCAGAATGGCTCACATCAGCCAGAGACATTCAGAAATCATAGAAAAAACAACAAAACATCCCAGATGGGCAGAAAGTCAGTCCTGGGAAGAATCCTAGAGAAGTGCCTATAGCCAGTACTGCCATTTTCTTCACAAACCCCCGCAATACTGGGAGCTACAAAATTAGCCTGAGCCCTTTATGGAACTTGGGGCTATGAGACCCTCCAGGCAGATGGAGATGCAGATGTGACTGCATCTCCACAGCTGGCATCAGAGTTTACAAGTGTGTTCATGACTCTGGAAGGTCAAGATCAAATCAGTAAGAAAGGAATGCAGGAAGCCAGCTTGCCCTCTGCCCTCTCCTGGCCTGGCTGCCTTGGGAGGCTCACGGCAGACGCCATGGATGTGTGGGGTGGTGTTGAGGTCAGAAAACACGCAGGAAATGTTCTCATTGCTCTGCTGGCTGCTCTTCCCCAGATTGCTCCCTGGGCATGCGCTGGGGTTTGTCTCTTGTGCACCCGGGCACGTGTGCACATGGACAGAGGGTGCAAGACCAGCCCTTCCTGTCCAGAGTCCACTGTCCCTCTACCTCTCCGGGACATGGATCTGAGAACCTGGGATTGCAGTGCTGTGTCCCATAGGAGGAAATCACTCCACCCTCCATGCAGGAACTTTCTAGAAGGCAGCGTCATGGCATCTGCAGGAAGCCAGTGGCCCCTCCTTCACATTAGATCACAGTGATGGGGAAGAGCAGGCCTGGGTGAGTGCTGTGTTGCCCTACATGCACCACCACAGTGGTTCCCAGAGCACAGTGGTTCCCAGAGCACAGGAGACAGCGTTGCCCACATTCGGAATGTTTCCTCTTGCATGACCTAGAAGAAATATCTCTCTGCCCCCAGCACAGAGACCAAGGTCCAGGTTCCACTTCCTTTGTTCTTGGCCAGAACAGAACTACCTCTAAAACAACAGGAAAGCTAGCTGCCTACACAAAGGCCTCTGAGCAAAGCCATCTCCCACTCTGGGGCTCCTGGGGCTCAGCTCCTCCTGACTCAGAAGTCTGCACGTGTATTGCCAGGCTGTGGAAAGAAGGGACAGTAACCAGACCTCTGTGGGACCACCCTCACCCACAGAACAGTTAGTAGGACCCAAGATTCTAAGATCCCAGGACCCATATCTCTTTCTCCCAAGGCCTGGACAACTCTGCTGTCATGAAGATATCAGGCCTGGGGAGACCCAGGTACCCTCAGTGTCTATGGCCAAGTAAGCAGTAGAGTGGCAATCTGGACTAAGGGTCACGACAAGTCTGATACTTGACCTAAAGTTCGTCTGCCAGCTTTCCGTGAGAATCTTTCTTCCTTCCTTTCTTTTTCTTTCGTTCTTTCTTTCTTTTTCTTTTTCTTTTTAAGCAAGGTCTCATATATCCCAGATTGGCTTTGAATTCATCAGGTAACCAAGGATAACCTTGATTTTTAAATCATCCAGCCTCCACCTTCCATATGCTAGGATTACAAGTGTGCACCACCACTAGGGAGGAGCTAAGGGTGGCTTTGTGCATGCTTCAAAATCATTCTATTCCCAACTCATTGACGGGCTAAGAACTACTCATGGCGGCATACCCTACAGGGCTCACTCCTTTGGTATCTGCGCCTCTAGCTCTGAAAGGGCAAAGGTGAAATGTTCCGATTCCTCTTCATTCCCTGCAGCCCAGGCCAGTGTGACCAGATGTCAACAGTTTCTTCCTTTTACCAGACAAACAAGCCCTTGAAGAAACCCAGGAGGCTTTCGGGAACTAGGCCATATCTCCCTGTGGTAGCAGTGGTCACAGTAGCTGCCAGCATTGCCTTGCACTTACTGAAACCTGGTTCTGTGCTAAGCATTTTACAGGGTTGTTCACCTGGATCAGCCCAACTCCATCAGCAACTCTGAGAGGAGAGCAGGCTTTAATCCCTGACTGAGGATTGTGACAGGCATTTGTACTGGCCCAGGAACCTGGCTGTCTAACCCACCCTCAGAGGAGCGTAGGAATCCCACCTTTGCTGCCATTGGAAGCTTCCTTCACCTGAGAGGAGGAGCAGTAGGAGCCTAGCTATCACTCTGAGGCTGGTCTGGGTGTCCTGTACCCAGCTGTGGCTCCAGCCTGCCAGTTCCCAAAGAAGTAGTTCTTTTCTTCACAGTGATTCCAGGTACCCCATTCTGGCCTCAGGCTACAAAGAGCCTCATTTCCTGTCCTGCTGCCTTCTGCTTACTATAACCACAGCTGATGTAACAGCTCCCTCAAGAGCCTTGCCCATTGCTCTTTGAACCCCAAAGCCTGCATATCCTTTCCGCTCCTGGGGGGTAGCAGAAAGATCTGCCACCTGTGCGCTATAGTGGGTTCCTGCTTCAGGTACCACCTCCCCATCTTCTAAACTGGGATGGAGTACTTGGGGGATTTGGAAGCTCCTCCCTAGCCAGAGCTAAGATCAGCACTCTGCTGTGAGGAACTGCCTTGACAACAGGACCACTGAGGTCAGTGCTGGTGACAGCGTCTGCAAGACTGCCTCCCCTTTAGCCCCTTAGGCTTGTCAGGGTGAATGGTAGACTGACCTGTGTTCCCTGTTGGCTGTGATCTGTTAAGGCTCCTCCTGCTGCTGAGGTGCAGACGTGTAGAAATGCAAACACTCAGGTCATCCCCAATTCGAGACTCACATTTATCAGGATCAAGTGTCTGTATGTGCTTGTAATCTCAGGCCATGAGAGCTACGTTTTATTGATATGTGAATTCCTAGCAGCAGGTACCTAGCAAGGAGATGCTTAAAATGAAGAATGGCCATGAACAGGTCGCTTAAGGGTAAGCTTAAGTTCCCCAGTCCCATTGTCCAGAAAGGTGTCCCCTTGGGCCTGCAACTGAGACTCCTTGTTGGTTTTCTTGTTGGCTCTATCTTTCTCCCTTTAGCACTGACCTTGGCCCTAGTCCTTGCTTAGGTAGCAGCCTCTTCCTGATAGCAGATGGCTGGGTGACCCCACCACTCCCCTAAAATCTGAGAAGTACTCCTAAGCCCCTCTCTGACTGATTATCTTGCCTTATGCTGTAAGCCAAACAGCTGGAACCTCCTAGATATGGGTGAGGCTCTGGCTCCTGTCCTGGGTGGTTACCTCTAGGATCAGGTCACCAGGGTGGTGTTGGTGTTGTGTCTGCCATCTATGAAATGAGTGAAACCTCCAATTCTACAACTCTCTCTCCAAAAAAACAAAAACAAAAATGCTTGGCCT